AGGATGCTGTGTCAACCCACCTCAGCTTGACAACCACCAGGTCCTTTTCTGACCCACTTGCTTTCCAGCCAGTCAGCCACCAGCCTATACTGGTACATAATGTTACCCTTCCCCAGATGCAGGACTTGGCAATTCTCTTTAGTGAACTTCCTGAGGTTCCTGTCTGCCCATTTCTCCAGCCTGTTGAAGTCCTCTTGAATGGCAGAAAAATTGTCTGGTCTATCAACCTCTCCTTTCAGTTTTGTATCACCTGTAAATTTGCTGAGGGCATGCTATGTTTTATTGTCCAGGTCATTAATGAAGATACTAAACAATATTAGACTCAGTATTGAGCCCTGAGGCACACTGCTGGCCAATGGTATCCAGCTGGACTTCATGCCGCTCATTACAACCCTTTGAGCCCAGCAGTTCAGCCAGTTTTCAGTCCACCTCGCTATCCACTCATCTAGTCCATACCAAACCACAAGTTTGTCACTGAGGATTGTGAGAGACAGTGTCAAAAGCCTTACAACAGAGGAAAGAACCTGGATTTTTGGTGAGAGGGCAGTGTGGGTAGAACAAGAAAGCTTGGTATATCTACACATGGATTAAACAAATTCACTAGCAAAAATAAGTTGGAGAACAGACTAGTTTAGAAAATGGAGGAGAGAAAAAAACCCATTGTTCTGTTGTATCATTGGTGAAGAGTGATGTTCACAACAAGAACTGTGGCTGACAAAGAAGAACTGAGGATATCTGACACATTCAAACCAACTGGGGATGGGAAGCAGGGAGAGGGAAGGATGCAGAAAACAAGGTCCAAATGAACAAGAATATACGTCTAGTTGTACCTAACGATTTAGTTCCTATCATATTTAAAAAGTCATATTTACATCATAATAAAATACTTCGCAGAAGTGGTGTAGGGCAACATTTTAAACATACAGATTTACTGAAATTAAAGGCATTGGAAAAAACTGTCTATATTACTACACAGATTCTACTCAGGAAAAGTCTTCACCAACTGGAACTTTGCTTGGCTCAGTGTGGACCATCGGAGTAGGACAACAATAAGGACCATATCATTATTTCACAATTTAGCTAAGGCTTGGTTAGATAAGCCCTCTAGAAAAAGAACAAACAAAACCAAAAACCACATCCCAATGTTTAACACTGCATTTTTTTGTATAAACTTTGCATAAAATAATTTTAAACAAACCCAGAGGCTGGCATATCAAAAACAATTAAGCATAGAGAATTTGGAACTTATACAGTGAAGTTATTGGAAAGTATATTGGCAGAATCACAGATTCGCAAAATTTCACTATGACTTTTTTTTTTTTTCAAATTCACACAACAGAACTCAGTTTGCACTAGATCCACCATTTCACTACTATAAACTGTGAAAGGTCTTAGTTTTTCCCATTTCTCTAATTATTTCCAATTCTTTCAATTACATTCTTGTTTCTCCACTCCTCAAAGAAGTACCTCTCTGACAACACAACACTGCCTAAAAATTACATACAAAACATTTTCCTATCATGTGCAAAAGCACATCAGGTGAGTTTACACAGAAGGAGAGAACTGCAGCACAATGGAAAAGAGTTCTAACAGCTTCAATTCTCCTGTACTCCTCCTTAATTTCAAAAAGTACTGTAGAAATTGTCCAGCCTAAAAACTTAGGTTGCTCTTCTGACTTTTTGAAATATCTCTACCTTTTTCAGAACAGTAAAGAAAATGCTGTTAACTAATACATTATCTGTGTATCAGGAACTAAACAGTGGGGCTCCACCTACAGCATTTAAGCAAA